AATGACCTTCACCTATTTTCAAGGTCACAGGGGTCAAATATGTCAAAAACTTTAAACATCTTCTTCTCAATAACCAAAATGCCCAGGGAGATGATATTTGGCCAGTAGCATGCTTGGGTGAAGGGCTACCAAGTTTGTTCAAATGAATGACCTTCAATTATATTCAAGGTCACAGGGGTCAATTGTATTAAAAAAACTTTAAACAACTTCTTCTGAATAACCAAAATGCTCAGGGTGATGATATTTGGCCAGTAGCATGCTGAGATGAAGGGCTACAAAGGTTGTTTAAATGAATGACCTTCACCCATATTCAAGGTCACAGGGGTCAAATATGTTAAAAAATCTAAACAATTTCTTCTCAATAACCAAAATTCACAGGGTGATGATATTTGGCCAGTAGCTAGCTGGGATGAAGGGCTACAAAGTTTGTTCAAATGAATGACCTTCACGCATATTCAAGGTCACAGGGGTCAAATATGTTTAAAACTTTAAACAACTTCTTCTGAATAACCAAAATGCCCAGGGTAATGATATTTGGCCAGTAGCTAGCTGGGATGAAGGGCTACAAAGTTTGTTCAAATGAATGACCTTCACGCATAATCAAGGTCATAGGGGTCAAATATGTTTAAAACTTTAAACAACTTCTTCTGAATAACCAAAATGCCCAGGGTGATGATATTTGGCCAGTAGCATGCTTGGGTGAAGGGCTACCAAGTTTGTTCAAATGAATGACCTTTACTTATTTTCAAGGTCACAGGGGTCAAATATGTTTAAAACCTTTAAACAACTTTTTCTCAATAACCGAAAGTCTTAGGATGATGATATTTGGCCAGTAGCATGCTGGGATAAAAGGCAACCAAGTTTATTCAAATGAATGATCTTTACTTATATTCAAGGTCACTGGGGTCAAATATGTTTAAAACTTTTATACAACTTCTTCTGAATAACCAAGAGACCTAGGATAATGATATTTGGCCAGTAGCATGCTGGGAAAAAGGGCTATCAAGTTTGTTCAAATAAATGACCTTTACATATATTCAAGGTCACAGGGGTCAAATATGTTTAAAACCTTTAAACGACTTCTTCTAAATTAGCCAAAGGCCAAGGGTGATGATTTTTGATCATTAACAGGCTGGGATGATGGGCTACCAATTTTGTCAAAATGAATGACCTTCGCCCATATTCAAGGTCAACATATGTTTAAATCTTTAAATGACTTGTTCTGTATAATCAATAGGGTAATGATATTTTGCCAAAAGCATGCTGGGTTGGAAGTCTTTAAACTCTGTTCAACCTAATGTCCTTGTTCGACATTCAAGGTCACAGGCGTCATATGTTTAAATCTTTTAATAGATTCTTATGAATCAAACACTGATATTCTGCCTGTAGCTGTATTTTAATCCACTTTTAAGATTACAAGTGTGAGATTAATACCAGGTGAGCGATTCAGGCCCATTGGGCCTCTTGTTTTATTCTACATTGTATATGGGGAAATAATCAAAATCGTTTATTTTACCAAGTTTGAAGAGTAATATCGACAACTTTTATAACATTGAGTATGGGAAATTTAAAGTATCATAAGACGAACTGACAGTATAATAAAGATTTGCCAAAGGGTTGAAACGGAATCGGTGTTCTGAAAAAATACTGTATTAATTAGTCATTTGTGAAGATATTTTCTTTTGTTGCTTTTTAAGTTGGAAATACTCTAAATAGAAGTATACAATAAATCAAAAGATACAATTAAGTGGATTTGAAGGGGAAATGCATTCAGTCGGCAGGGTTGATCAAAATCGTTTACTCTCAAATTTCAAGATGTAGGGCGTCACTTAGTGCAAAACCCGAAACAATGATATTTTAGACTTCTTTCTAAAAACTATCTATCATATTTTGATGAAGCTTGGTGGTGAGTCATCAATCTGAGATGGGGAATTGAATTATGCTCAAGAGTGGTTTGATCCTCCGCGGGCCTGTTCACGAGTTGCGGAGTCAAAAAGGGCCAAGTTGGCTATCATTTCAACAATCTCCTTCTTCAGATCCAGATATATGTACTAAAATCAAATTTTCTTTGTGGATGGAAAGGTCCGAAGGTACTTTATCAAAAGAGTGAATTTCATTACGGCTTCGGGCCACCCGTCTCCCGCTCTCCCCAGGGCAGGGTTTACTATGGTTAATATAGGGAATTCACATTTTAAGTATATATTGTTGATTTCAAGTGGGAAATTATTCAAACTTAGTTGTTATTCTTATCACCTGTTTGCAGATTATCTATTCCCCCCTTTAATGGGTAAATTTATTGCAATTTTATCATTTTACTCATATAAATTTATTAGCTTTATATAAATGTCATATCCCACAGTCAGAAAGGCGTTTTTAGTTTGATATGTACTTTTTTTCGGCTTCGTCGCACAAGTAAAAATTGTTTTCCCTCTCAGGTGACCATTAAAGCCAATATACCTCTTGTTTCTTGTTCATGGGCTTGTAAATCTACTTTTTTACACTATGAGGCTCTTTTTACAAGATTGTAACAAGTAGTCCGACAAGATTGTCACTCACGAGATCTGTGACAGGATTAGAACTCACGAGTAATGTGACAAGATTGTTACTCACAAGTAGTCCGACAAGATTGGCACTCACAAGTAGTCCGACAAGATTGTCACTCACGAGATCTGTGACAGGATCGGCACTCACGAGTACTTTGGCACGATTGGCACTCACAAGTAGTCCGACAAGATTGTCACTCACGAGTACTGTGACAGGATTAGAACTCACGAGTAATGTGACAAGATTGTTACTCACAAGTAGTCCGACAAGATTGGCACTCACAAGTAGTCCGACAAGATTGTCACTCACGAATACTGTGACAGGATTAGAACTCACGAGTACTGTGATAAGACTATAGTCATGTGACCAGACAAGAACTCATGAAAACTCAGACATAACAAGAAATTACAAAAACTGTGACGAGATTTGATCACAAGAGTACTGCGACAAGAACTCAAAATTAAAAATATGCCAATACAATAATTCTGAGATAATTCAAGAAAAGTACTCACAAGCACTCACTAGAGCTCACAAATAAATTGACAAGATAAGCACTCACATGTACTGCATCAAGACTAGAGCTTACCGAGTACTGTGATAAAACTATAGTTCTGTGACAAGACTAGAGCTTACCGAGTACTGTGATAAACTATAGTTCTGTGACAAGACTAGAGCTTACCGAGTACTGTGATAAACTATAGTTCTGTGACAAGACTAGAGCTAACCGAGTACTGTAATAAACTATAGTTCTGTGACAAGACTAGAGTTTACCGAGTACTGTGATAAACTATAGTTCTGTGCCAAGACTAGAGCTAACCGAGTACTGTAATAAACTATAGTTCTGTGACAAGACTAGAGTTTACCGAGTACTGTGATAAACTATAGTTCTGTGACAAGACTAGAGCTAACCGAGTA